GGGGCGTGTGGAGTAAGTCTTAGATCAGGTTCTGCAATTTTAAACCAGTCTATCTGCTGAACTTCTGTTGTTATGGGCAGGCCCTCTCAGAAGTCGAGAGAGGCCCAGGCCACTTTCATTTTTTGAGGCTCCCAGTATATTAAAAAAAATTAATTCATAGTGCACTACAGGTGGTGTGGCCCAGTAATAGGACACAAGTTTAAAGTTGTATGATGAATGTCTTCTTCTTTCAATCCTGTCAGTGTATCTCTGTGTCTGTATGTATAACCTCATTTGAAGATAACGTCAAAAGTCTAAATTTGAGGCCCTCCGTGAATGAGAGGCCTGGGCCAAATGGCTCTCCTGGCGCCCCTTGTGATAGGCCCTGGTTATGGGTATAAACCAGTTGCATGCGCCAAACTTCTGTTCTGTTATGGGGATAGACTGGTTTCTGATCACTTATACTAGTAAAAGTGTAATGTCTGTACCTGGCCTAAGGTGCCAACTTAACCTACTTTGTGCCCAAAGACTAAAATATAAAAGGGTAAGGAATAAAGTGAGTGACTGGCTGGCTGAGCTCCTCTTTGAATTTTTTTTCAATGCTGAGAGGATGTTGTTGCATCACTGATAGTGTGTTAGGATACCTAGGGCCTTCTTTAAAAACTAAATACATGGTTTTTGTTTTTTAAATTTTCCCCTCTGGAAAAAGGAAAACCCTAACTAAACACAAATTTCCTGGCTTAGATTTTAACTGCACAGAGTACTAGAATAATATGATGGCTATATTAAGAGGAACTAAACAGAAGTACTGCCAACAGATAGTCTCAAGCTTCTAACTGAATCAAAATTTTAAAGTTTACCACAGCAATTATGCAAGCTCTTGGAATAAGTTATATAAACCCATGAAAGAGACTCACACTATTTAAAAACATTAAGTACAGCATGTGTTACACACAGAGATCACTTGCGATATGATCCTTCCTAAAAAGTAATACACAGATCTCTATTAAATCACCATAAAAGACCAGTACTTATTTTAAAAGTGGAAAAACTGTAATTAAGGCAATTTATATTGGCACAGAGGCAGAGAGGGATCTTGGAGTCAGGATCAACTCC